CTGGGATAATTCTTTAGAAGTAAAAAATTCTGGATCCAAATTTTGATACATATTAGGAAACTGTTGTCCAGCTGTATTTTACTAATTGATACATTATCACCAATAAGATATAAAAATGCTTATTTCTCCAACATTGTAGTTAGTAAAATTAATGTAGTCATTACCAGTAAATAGATTTAATTATTTTTGAGTGACTCTGAATAACAGTGATTTTGATTCTTCTTTTAAAAAGTTTTATCGGGGGGTGCTTGGGTAGCTCAGTCAGTTAAGCCTCTGACTCTTGATTTCAGCTCAGGTTATGATCTCAGGGTTCTGGGATTGAGCCCTGCATTGGGATTTGCGCTTAGCATGGAGTCGGCTTGGGATTCTTTCTCACCCTCTCCCTCTGCCTTTCTCCCCTGTTTGCTCTCACTCTCTCTCTCTAGATAAATAAATATATAAAAATTTTTATTGGGCATTCACATTTCTTCTGCAGAGAGTTTGTTTAAAACGTGTTTCTCTTTGGATATGTGGGTATTATGGGCTCTAATTAACTATGTGTCTGATATATATCTACATCTCTATGTATCTGTAGTTGTTATATCATCTATCTCTATATTTCATCTTTTTCTCCCCTCACCCCCAACAATTTACGTGACTTTTAACCCTGATTCTGATATTTTTTGGCTAAATAAAGTCATTTTGTTTAGTTTGGTTTTTAATATTCATGCTCTCAAATCTGTTACCTTTTCCTTTGTGATTTTGGGAACTGATATCAGGTTTAGAAAGGTCTCCACAGCTTGAAATTTTTTTTTAAAAAATATCATTTTACTAATTATATATTTAATTTTTTTAATATGAAAAGAGAGAAAAAAGGATGCAAGAATACAGCTTTATGTTTTCCAGATACACATCTTTAGGAATTAATTTTGTACTCATTTATTTATAATGCCATTTTTATCATATTTTCAATTCCCATCTATACTTCATTATACTGTGATTTTAAAATGAGTATTAATTAATTAAAACTGCCAATTTTTGCATGATTCATATATATTGTAGCAAACTATTTTACTGAATCTTTAATTTTTTCCAATAGGGAATTAGCTAAAATTTTTAATAATTTACTTCATTTCCAATATTTACCTCTTACATTACTTATCTTTGAGCATTTAAAGATAATATTCAATGATACTAGTGTTAGTGGGTTAACTGTCTTGTTCGTACAAATATAAATATGAAATTAAAAAAAATTAATTCCAGTATAGTTAACATATAGTGCTATATTAGTTTCAGGTGTGCAATATAATGATTCAACAATTCTCTACATCACTCAGTGGTCATCATAAGTGTACTCTTAATCTGCTTCATCTGATTAACCCATCTTCCACCCACCTCCCCTCTTATAACCATCAGTTCTTCATAGTTAAGGTCTGTTTTCTGGTTTGTCTCTTTTTCTCTGTTTCTTATTTTTCTTATTTTTATTATGTTCAGTTAGCCACTGTATAGTACATCATTAGTTTTGGTTCTAGTGTTCCATGATTCATTAGTTGAGTATAACTCCCAGTGCTCATTACAACACGTGCCCTCCTTAATACCCATCACCCTGTCACCCCATCCCCTCCCCTCTGAAACCCTCATTTTGTTTCCCAGGGTCCATAGTCTCTCATGGTTCATCTCTCTCTCTGATTTCTCCCCCTTCAGATTTCCCTCCCTTCCCTTATGGTCCTCTGTGCTATTGCTTATATTCCACATATGAGTGAAACCATATGATAATTGTCTTTCTCTGCTTGACTTATTTCACTTAGCATAATCCCCTCCAGTTCTTTCCATATCAGTGCAAATGGTGGGTATTAATCCTTTCTGATGGCTGAATAATATTCCATTGTATATTTGTACCACATCTTCTTTATTCATTCATCTGTTGAAGGGCATCTTGGCTCCTTCCACAGTTTGGCTATTGTGGACATTGCTGCTATGAACACTGGGGTGCACATGGCCCTTCTTTTCACTATATCTGTATCTTTGGGGTAAATACCTAGTAGTACAATTGCTGGGTTGTAGGGTAGCTCTATTTTTAACATCTCGAGGAACAGCCATACTGTTTTCCAGAGTGGCTGTACCAGCTTGCATTCCCATCAACAGTTTAAGAGGGTACCCCTTTCTCCATATCCTCACCAACATTTGTTGTTTCCTGTTTTGTCAATTATTTCCATTCTAACTAGTGTAAGGTGGTATCCCATTGTGGTTTTGATTTGTATTTCCCTGATGGCTAGTGATGTTGAGCATTTTTCATGTGTCTGTGAGCCATTTGTATGTCTTCTTTGGAGAAGTGTCTGTTCATGTCCTCTGCCCATTTTTTGGCTGGGTTATTTGTTTTTTCAGTGTTGAGTTTGAAAAGGTCTTTATAAGATCTTGGATACCAGCCCTTTATCTGTAATGTCATTTGCAAATACCTTCTCTCATTCTGTGGGTTGCCTTTTAGTTTTGTTGACTGTTTCCTTTGCTGTGCAGAGCTTTTTATCTTGATGAAGTCCCAAAAGTTCATTTTTGCTTTTGTTTCACTAGCTTTTGGAGATGTATCTTGAAAGAAGTTGCTGTGGCCAAAGTCGAAGAGGTTGCTACCTGTGTTCTCCTCTAGGATTTTGATGGAATTCTGTCTCACATTGAGGTCTTTCATTAATTTTGAGTTTATCTTTGTGCATGTTGTAAGGGAATGGTCCAGTTTCATTCTTCTGTATGTAGCTGTCCAATTTTCCCAGCACCGCTTATTGAAGAGACTGTCTTTTTTTCCATTGGATATTTTTTCCTGATTTCCAAAGATTAGTTGACCATAGAGTTGAGGATCCTTTTCTGGAGTCTCTAGTCTGTTCCATTGGTCTATGTGTCTGTTTTTGTGCCAATACCAAGCTGTCTTGGTGATCACAGCTTTGTAATATAACTTGAAATCAGGCAACGTGATGCCCCCAGCTTTTTCTCTTTCAACATTTCCTTGGCAATTCGGGGTCTTTTCTGTTTCATACAAATTTTAGGATTACAAAAAATGCCAATGGTATTTTGATAGGGATGACATTGTGAGATGGTGTAGGCTTGTAGGCCCCTTGCAGGCCAGGGTCATTTGAGGACTGCACTGAGGTTAAGGACGGCCAGGCAGGCCTAGGCCAGGAGGAGAAAATGTTCTCTTCCCCTTACCTCATGTTGCAAGGCCTAAATGCCTGGATCAGCAGGAAGTGGCTCTTGCCTAGCTTAAAGTGTATCTCTCTAAACAGAAGTGTTCTTTCTAAAGACAAAGAACATGTTGTCTCCAAAGGAAGGATGGCTAAGAGAATTCTTTATTCTGCAAGCATAAACAGGATATAAGCAGGATGTATTTTGTTCTTATTGCATTTCGTGTATATTTCACTTCATAGATGTTGGCTTGATACATTGTTATGTTTATCTGATCTCTGCGAGTATATAGCTACGTGAGAAATAAACGGCAGTATGCAGTTGCAAGTGCTGCCTTTGCTCTGCATCCCCTGTGTCCTGGTGATTTCGTAGACCCTTACCCAGGGACCCCAACGCACTAGACGTTGACAATTGGCACCCGAACAGGGACCCTGAAGGATGTTCAGGAAGGGTGAGTAACTTAATTAAATACAGGGTTATGGGACAAGAAACTTCTACTCCTTATGTTCGAATGCTGAAACATTCACTTGCTGTCTATGGTATTACTGTCGCTTCTAATGATATTGAGCTGTGTTTGAAGGTTTTTCAGCAGGTTATGGCTATGGCGGAAGAGTCTAAGAAACCCTCTAGGAAGCCCTCTGCTCCGCCTTTGCCGTCTGTACCAGCTCTTTCTTCTAAAAATCCTTTCCTTTCTGCTGCTTTAGCTGAGCTTGATGCGCTAGAGGATAACGATGATGAGGCTGGCGCAGCTAATTCTGTCTTTGCTTTTCCTGTTATTAGGCCTCCCCCGGTCCAGGGAGTGGCACAAGCACCATATTATGAAGGAATAGGTATAGAAGATATTGGTCGCTTGAAAAAGGCAGTGTCTTTATATGGACCACAATCACATTATGTTAAGGAGCTAGTTAATGGTCTAGCTCGACATTATAACAATTTTTCTCCTGAGGACTGGAGGGTCCTCTGTCGGGCTCTTTTAAAGGAGCCTGAGTATCTGCAGTGGCAGATGTGGTTTTCTGAACTTTGTATGTATGTACATGTGGTAATAGATACATATTCTCAATTTATATGGGCCACAGCACAAAGTGGTGAAACCACACAGCATGTCATCTTCCATCTTCTAGAAACTTTTGCTGTGATGGGTTTACCATCTATTATTAAAACAGATAATGGACCTGCATATAGCAGTAAAAAATTTCAAACTTTCTGTAAACAATATGGTATAATGCACAAAACAGGCATTGAGTATAATCCTCAAGGGCAAGCTATTGTAGAACGTGCACATAATACCTTAAAGTTACAAATTAAAAAATTAAAAAGGAGGAAAAAGGATCATATCTTAGCATTCACTCAATCAAATGCACATTCCATTTTGCAACAAGCTCTGTTCACATTAAATTTCTTGAATCTTCCGCAGGGAGATATCCTCTCCCGTGCAGAGAAACAGTTCATAGAGGGAGAGGTCGCTCCCCCTCCATTAAATGAACATATATGGCTTAAACCGACTGCAGATGCAGAATGGCAACCGGGGCTATTGCTTTGCAGAGGGAAGGGTTATGCTTATGTCTCCACAGAGGATGGACGGACCTGTTCCTGGCTCCCCGCACGATGGATCCGGTCGAGGGCCAATTCGAACGGCACCGTATCCCACCAGATGACAGATGGGGAATCCAGACCAAGATGAACTTCCGTTACAGGCCATAGCACATCTGAATTTGGGGGGACGACGTCGCCGTCGGCAGATATTTGCTACTGCTTTGCCGACTTGGGGGCAAATTAAAAAGCTTAGTGGGGAGGGGCAAAAAATCCTGCAGCGGACAGGGAAGGCTTGTACACCTGAAAATTTATTTTTGGCTATGTGTGCCTTGCTTACTGTATTATCCTCTGCCGAGGCGACAAATGTAAGCTATTGGGCCTATATACCTAATCCACCTATGATGGAACCTGCACCTTGGGGAAGTGCAGATATTCCTGTCTATACCTCCCCTGTAATACTTTCGCCTCCTTGGAAGAATCTTACTTATCTTAATCAGGATGATGGCACCTCATTTAATTTTTCATACAAAGGGGATGGTCCTTACATTTGTCTGGGCCCATCACCGTGTGCCGAGATGGATTGGCAGAACTGGATCCTGCCGGGGAATAAGTCTAATGGATCCCGAACTCATTTACAAAGAGTTGAAGCATGGTCTCTTAACATGACATGGGGAAATGTTACATTTGCTGAATTCCCCTCATTTCCTGCCTGTCCTGATTTCACTTATATCGGACTGGCCTATGAACCATTTGTGTGGCAGGAATGTATTGGAAAATTCGTGAAATTTTATAAGAATTTACTTATGTGGGGACCATATGGTCAATTTCTTCGGAATTGTTCCGAATGGAATAAGACATGTTGTGATTTGTCCTTATCCTACAGGATGCCACCACGGAACAAATGGAATGAATCAATGGTGAATCATCAGTTGATGGCCTGGGGAGATGGCGGCATCGCAGACCCTCGTATAGCACATCAGAAATTTCCTGACCATATCCAAACGCACTTATGGAAGATTGCAGCTGTGCTTAAGACTGTTAGACTTTACGAGGGAACCTTTTCTGGCACCGTGAATTCTGCATCAACTTATAAATTCACCTCATTTAAAGAGATAAATGTAACTGCATGCGTACCTTTACCATATCTATTTCTGATAGGGAATTTTAGCTTTGATAACGGTATTAACTGTACCAATTGTCGACTATATTCTTGCATTAATAGCTCTATAGAATTTGACTCCGAATATTCTCTTATGATTTTACAACAACGTTCTCATATTTGGCTTCCGGTAGATCTAGAACGACCATGGGCTCAAAATCCTGTAGATGTCTTAGTATTGGAGTTTTTTAAAAGGGTACTAAAGCGCACCAAACGTTTTCTCGGTATTGTTGTGGCAGTCATTTTAATTTTAATCGCAGTTACTACTATAGCTACGGTATCAGGCATAGCTTTACATACATCTTTGCAAACTAAGCATTTTGTAGAAGACTGGCACCATAACTCTCGGGATCTTTGGCTTTCACAAACCATGATCGATACTCGCTTACAAACACAAATAGATGTCCTCAGACAGACGGTGAGCTGGTTAGGGAAAAAGGTTTTGACACTAGAAAGGCAAGTTTGGCTGCGTTGCGATTGGAATTCCACAACTTTTTGTGTTACCAATTTAAAATACAATGAGTCGCAGCACGAGTGGAGCATCATCCAAAGTTATTTAGAAGGTAATTCCTCAGCTACTGACATGATCAATAACCTACACACGAACATTCAGGAGGTATTTGGCAGACCATTTGAGACTGAAGATGCCGCTACGTTGGCCAATTTACTTCTTAAGCAACTTAAGGGACTAGATCCAAAAGGTATTATTCAGAGTTTGGGGCATACTGCTGGAGGAATGGGATTTGTATTGTTGATTGTTATCTTATGCTTTATGCTGTTGCATTTTTGCTATCTAAAGCCTTCCCAGAATTCTATGGCCATCCTTTGGAGGGCACTTTTATTAAAACAAAAGAAAAAAGAGGGAATTGAGATGGTGTAGGCTTGTAGGCCCCTTGCAGGCCAGGGTCATTTGAGGACTGCACTGAGGTTAAGGATGGCCAGGCAGGCCTAGGCCAGGAGGAGAAAATGTTCTCTTCCCCTTACCTCATGTTGCAAGGCCTAAATGCCTGGATCAGCAGGAAGTGGCTCTTGCCTAGCTTAAAGTGTATCTCTCTAAACAGAAGTGTTCTTTCTAAAGACAAAGAACATGTTGTCTCCAAAGGAAGGATGGCTAAGAGAATTCTTTATTCTGCAAGGATAAGCAGGATGTATTTTGTTCTTATTGCATTTCGTGTATATTTCACTTCACAGATGTTGGCTTGATACATTGTTATGTTTATCTGATCTCTGCGAGTATATAGCTACGTGAGAAATAAACGGCAGTATGCAGTTGCAAGTGCTGCCTTTGCTCTGCATCCCCTGTGTCCTGGTGATTTCGTAGACCCTTACCCAGGGACCCCAACGCACTAGACGTTGACAACATTGAAAGTGTAAATTGCTCTGGGCAGGAATGTTTATCCTTCCAATCCATGAACATGGAATGTTTCTTAAATTCCACATATCAGTTAAATCATATGATATTTGTCTTTCTTTGACTTATTTCACTTAGCACTATACCCTCTAGACGTATCCATTTTGTTGTAAATGGTAAGATTTCATTTTTATGACTAAATAATATTCCTGTGTGTGTGTGTGTGTGTGTACAACTTCTTTATCCATTCATCAGTCGATGGATACTTGGTCTGCTTCCATAATTTGACTATTGTATATAATGCTCCAATAAATATAGGGGTGCATATATCCTTTTGAATTAGTGTTTTTGTATTTTTAGGGTAAATATTCAGTAGTGCAATTTCTGGTTTATAGGGTATTTCTATTTTTAAGTTTTTAAGGAATCTCCATTCTCTTTTCCAGAGTGGCTGTACCCACTTTGCTTTCATACCGACAGTGCATGAGGGTTCCTTTTTCTCCAAATCCCTGCTAACATTTGTCATTTCTTGTGTTCTTGATTTTAGCAATTCTGACAGGTGTGAAATGATATCATTGTGGTTTTGATTTACATTTCCGTGGTGATGAATGATGTTGAACATCTTTTCATGTGTCTGTTGGCCATCTGTTTGTCTTCTTTGGAGAAATGTCTATTCATATCTTCTGCCCGTTTTTAATTGAATTATTTGTTTTTGGTGTTGAGCTGTATAAGTTCTTTATAAATTTTGGATACTGATCCTTTATCAGATATGTCATTGCAATATCTTCTCCCATTCAGTAGTTTTGTTGATGGTTTCCTTTGGTGTGCAAAAGCCTTTTATTTTGATGTAGTCCCAAAAGTTTATTTTTCCTTTTGTTTCCCTTCCCTCAGGAGACATATCTAGAAAAAAATTGTTATGGCCAGTGTCAGAGAGATTATTGCCTGTGGTATCTTCCAGGATTTTTATGGTTTCAAGACTCGCATTTAGGTTTTTAATCCATTTTGAGTTTATTTGTGTATATGGTGTACGAAAGTGGTCCAGTTTCATTCTTTACATGTAGCTGTCCAGTTTTCCCAACACCACTTTTTGAAGAGACGGTCGTTTTCCCATGCATATTCTGGCCTCTTTTGTTAAGATTAATTGACTGTATCATCATTTATTTATGAGCTCTCTAGTCTGTTCTATTGATTTATGTGTCTATTTTTATGTCAGTACCATAATATCTGATTACTGCAGATCCATAGTTGATCTTGAAATCTGGGATTGTGATACCCCCATTTTTATTCTTCTTTCAAGATTGCTTTGGCTATTTAGGGTCTTGTGGTTCCATACAAATTTTAAGATTATTTCTTTCTAGTTCTGTGATAAATGTTTGTTGGTATTTTGATAGGGATTGCATTAAATCTGTAGATTACTTTGGGTAGTATGGACATTTTAACAATATTTTTTCTTCCAACTCATAAGCATGGAATATCTCTCCATTTTGTTTGTGTCATCTTCAATTTCTTTTATCAGTGTTTTATAGGTTTCAGAGTAACAAGTCTTTCACCTCCTTGGTTAAGTTTATCCCTAGTTATATTACTCTTTTTGGTGCAATTGTAAATGGGATCATTTTCTTAATTTTTTTCTTTTTGCTACATTATTAATGTATAGAAATGAAACAAATTGCTGTTTGTTTTTGTGTCCTGCCACCCTACCTAATTCATTCATCAGTTCTAGTAGTTTTTTTGGTGGAGGCATTAGATTTTCTTTATTTAGTATCATGCCATCTGCAAATAGTGAAAGTTTTACTTCTTTCTTACTGATTTGGATGCCATTTATTGATTGATTGATTATTGATTGTCTGATTGCTGTGGCTAGGACTTCTAGTACTATGTTGAATAATTATGGTGAGAGTGGACATCCTTGTCATTGATGACCTTAGGGGAAAAGCTCTTAGTTGTTATGATGTTAGTTGTGGGTTTTTCAGATAAGGCCTTATGAAGTTAGGTATGTTCCCTCTAATATTTTGTTGACAATTTTTGCATCTGTGCTCATTGGAGATACTGGCCTGTAATAGTTCTTTTTTTTCTCTCTCTCTCTTTTTTTTATTATGTTATGTTAATCACCATACATGACATCATTAGTTTTTGATGTAGTCTTCCATGATTCATTATTTGCGTATAACACCCAGTGCTCCATGCAGAATGTGTAGTTCACTTTTTTTAAAGATTTTATTTATTTGAGAGAGAGAATGAAAGCGAGAGAGAGCATGAGAAGGGGGAGGGTCAGAGGGAGAAGCAGGTTCCCCTGCAGAGCAGAGAGACCGATGCGGGACTCGATCCTAGGACTCCAGTATCATGACCTGAGCCAAAGGCAGTTGCTCAACCAACTGAGCCACCCAGGCACCCCAGTAGTTCACTTTTTAGGTAGTGTCTTTATCTGGTTTTAGTATCAGGATAATGCTGGACTACTAGAGTGAATTTGGAAGCTTTTCTTACACTATTTTTTGGAATAGTTTGAGAAGAATAGTTTGAGAAGAATTAAATATTTGGTAGAATTTACCTGTGAAGCCATCTGGTCCTGGACTTTTGTTTTTGGGGAATTGTTTGATTACTGATGCAATTTCATTGCTGATAATTGATCTGTTCAAATTTTCTTCCTGGTTAAATATTGGAGGTTATATGTTTCTAGGAATTTTCTATTTCTTCTAGGTTCAATCTGTTGGCATATAATTTTTCATAATATTCTCTTATTCTTTGTATTTCTGTGGTGTTTGTTATTTCTCTTCATTTCTGATTTTTAGTCTTGTTGTTGAGCCTAGCTAAAGGTTTATCAGTTTTGTTGATCTTCTCAACCAGTTTTCATTGATCTGTTTTATTGATTTTGTTTGTTTGTGTTTCATTTATTTCTGTTCTGATCTTTATTATTTCCTTCCTTCTGGTTGTGGGTTTTGTTTTTCTTAGCTCCTTTCAGTGCAAGTTTAAGTTGTTTATTTGATATTTTTCTTCTTGAGGTAGGCCTGTATTGCTATAAACTTCTGTCTTAGAACAGCTTTTATTTCATCCCTAAGATTTGGGGACCATTGTGTTTTCATTTTTATTTGTCTCCATGTATTTTTTATTCTCTCTTCAATTTCTTGGTTGACTCTTTCATTGTTTAGTAGAATCTTATTTAACCTCCAGGTATTTGTGTTCTTCCCAGACTTTTTCTTTTGGTTGATTTCTAGTTTCATAATATTAAGGTCAGGAAAGAGGCATGGTACGACTTCAGTCTTTTTATATTTGTTGAGACTTGTTTTGTGGTCTAAGATGATCTACTCTGAAGAATGTTCTATGTGCACTTGAATGTGTGTCCTGCTCTTTTAGGATGGAATGTTCTGTATCTACCTGCTAGATCCATCTGGTCCAATGTGTCACTCAAAGATACTGTTTCCTTGTTGATTTTCTGTTTAAGGATCTATGCATTGATGTAATAGGAGTGTTAAAGTCCCCTACTATCATGGCATTACTATTGATTTTATGTTTTTAATATATGCTTTATGTTTTGGGTGCTCCCATGTTGGGTGCACAAATATTTACAATTACTATATCTTTTTTTTTTTTCTTTAGGATCGTGAAGTGTCTTTCTTTGTCTCTTATTACAGCCTGTGTTCTAAAGTCCATTTTGTCCAATGTAAATACTGCTACCCCAGCTTTCTGTTTACTTCCATTTGTATGACAAATTCTCCATCCCTTCATTTTTAATATGTATGTGTCTTTAGGTCTGATATATGTCTCTTGTAGGCAGCATATAGGTGGGTCTTGTTTTTTTTTTTTTTTTTTTTTTTTTTTTTTTTTAATTTTATTATGTTATGTTAGTCACCATACAGTACATCATTAGTTTTTGATGTGTTGATCCACAATCTACTGTTTTCGTATAACACCCAGTGCTCCATGCAGTACGTGCCCTCCTTAATACCCATCGCTGGGCTAACCAATCCCCCCTCCCTCTCCCCTCTAAAACCCTGTTTGTTTCTCAGAGTCCATAGTCTCTCATGGTTCATCTCTCCCTCCAATTCCCCCCCCCTTCATTTTTCCCTTCCTTCTCCTAATGTTGTCCATGCTATTCCTTACGTTCCACAAACAAGTGAAACCATATGATAATTGACTTTCTCTGCTTGACTTATTTCACTTAGCATAATCTCCTCCAGTCCCATCCATGTTGATGTAAAAGTTGGGTATTCATCCTTTCTGATAGCTGAGCAATATTCCATTGTATATATGGACCACATCTTCTTTATCCATTCATCTGTTGAAGGGCATCTCCGCTCTTTCCACAGTTTGGCTATTGTGGACATCACTGCTATGAACATTGAGGTGCATATGGCCCTTCTTTTCACTACATCTGTGTCTTTGGGGTAAATACCCAGTAGTGCAATTGCTGAGTCATAGGGTAGCTCTATTTTTAAATTTTTGAGGAACCTCCACACTGTTTTCCAAAGTGGCTGTACTAACTTGCATTCCCACCAACAGTGTAAGAGGGTTCCCCTTTCTCCACAACCTCTCCAACATTTGTTGTTTCTTTCCCTGTCCATTTTTGCCATTCTAACTGGTGTAAGGTGGTATCTCAATGTGGTTTTGATTTGGATTTCCCTGATGGCTAATGATGATGACCATTTTTTCATGTGTCTGTTAGCCATTTGTATGTCTATAGAGAAGTGTATTTTCATATCTTCTGCCCATTTTTTGACTTGATTATTTGGTTTTTGGGTGTTGAGTTTGAGAAGTTCTTTATAGATTTTGGATACCAGCCCTTTATCTGTAGTGTCATTTGCAAATATCTTCTCCCATTCTGTGGGTTGCCTCTTTGTTTTGTTGACTGGTTCCTTTGCTGTGAAGAAGATTTTATCTTGATGAAGTCCTAAAACTTCATTTTTGCTTTTGTTTCACTAGCTTTTGGAGATGTATCTTGGAAGAAGTTGCTGTGGCCGATGTCAAAGAGATTACTGCCTATGTTCTCCTCTAGGATTTTGATGGATTCCTGTCTCACATTGAGGTCTTTCATCCATTTTGGTCTTATTTTTTTATCCATTCTGTTACCCCATGTCTTTTGATTAGAACATTTAGTCCGTTTATATCCAAAGTAATTATCGATAGGTATTCTTATTGCCATTTTCTTGTTTTACGGTTGTTTTTATAGTTCTTCTCTGTTCCTTTCTTCTCTTGTTCTCTACTGTCACAGTTTACAGGCCTTCTTCAGTGATATCCATGGATTTGTTTTCTTTATTCTTTAGTGATATCCATGGATTTATTTTCTTTATTTTTTGCATATCTATTATCAGTTTTTTTACTTTGGGTTACCATTAGACTTCTATATAACATCTGGTTCATATCAGTCTATATTAAGTTGATAGTCATTTAAGTTTGAACCCATTTTAAAGGCACTAAATTTTCCTCTTCCTCTTACATATTAGGTATATGGTGTCATCCTTTGTATCTTTTTATTTTGTGAATCCCTGCACTGAT